TTCAAGTTCTCTCTTTAAGTTTTCTCTAGAAGAATGAAGCTTCAATGGTTGCCAAAGACTCTTACCAAGTACCTTAACAAAGCTTAAATAGAGGGATTTGAAAAACTCTAAAAATCAATTATAGCAACAAAGATCATCCAGGATGATCGATAAATCATCATGTATGATCAGTATAAATTCAACTCATTCAGCTAGGACATTACATGCTGGATGATGAAAAAAAACTTATTTCAGGACGATTATTAGATCATCTCGTACAATTAGTTCAAAAAATTAAATATCATCCAATACATCGTACTGTTTGTTCAGGACGCTTAGGAAGAAACTATGGTTTTTTCACTGATCATTTAAAACGATCCTGCAATCGTCCAAGATGATATGATCGATCAATCAAATCTTAATTACTTTCCTTAATCATCAAGATAATTTAAACATAATTTTAATGCATCGTCTAGGATAATGTCTTGTACGATGTCTAAAAATAATAACATGCCTAAAAGAGTTGGCAGTTGATTCTTTATGATTTGAGCATATCATTCAGGACGATGTTAATATCGTCTAGGATGATTTACTTAATTCAATTGTCTTAACAAGGATGCCTTAATTAGGGTTTCTATTTTTAACTGATCATATAGGATGATTTTGTATCATCCTATACGATGTGATCAAGAATAGAAATACTCTTAGTTTTATAGAATTTCTCCCCCTGAGTGTTTGTGTAAGGTCACCAAGTAAGCAAACACCTTTACAGGACTTAACTCAAGAAATAAAAATACATCAATAAATATTACAAAAATTATTACAACATAACCTATTCTACCAAATCTTGAGCCTTGAATCTATATTGGATCTTGTATGATATTCAGGAAAAGTTAGTACACACATAAATAAAAATATATTGCAAATACTAGTAGACAACAGGATATGACCCACAATATTTGTTATCATCAAAATTATAAACTCATAAGCTTGAGTTGCAACAAAAGGTACACAAACTAATAGATCTAAAATCATTCAAATTATTAACAAAATTATTCATGGGAATAAGCACATTAGAAGTAGAAGTAAAAAACTTAGGAATCAAATTGCAAGAAAAAAATCCAAAATAATAGAATAAATATCATTACTTATAATATGCCTGGACTTCTTAAAAAACTTAGTGGTGAAGCCATCTAGCCCAGCCACAGAATACCCATTCATGCCATGAACAATCTCTTTAGCTTCCTCTAAAGAATGATGTTTAGAAAGAAAATCATTATCCCCAGGAGATATAAGATTAGGAATAATATAAGGATTGCCAATATGACCAGGAGTAAACTCCTTATTAAAAAGGTTTTTACTAATATTTTTGAAGCCATGTAGCAAATCAACAATTTTGAGAGTAGATGTCAAGTTAACCCTTCTGTGCTAACTTTAGTTTATTGAGGGATTCTAAATACTGCCTTTTTAAATTACAAGAGCAGGAGGAGGCCTTTTGGAAATAAAAAGCTGGTGCTTTACATATTGTTGTAGGTGATAATAATACCAAGTACTTTCATTCCTTGGTTAAGAGAAAACAGACCAAAAATTGTATTAACAAATTCGACGGGACAATGGCTCTATGTCTGAGGTTAGTTTGGAGATTGCTAATTTTGCAGTTCAATATTTCAACAAATATAAATTTGTGATCACAAATGAGCATTTTTATGGTTTTATATTAATGCCTTATGGAGTAATACTGATACTCGCAAGATTTTTACTATTCTCGAATGACCGACACCTTATTCCTTGATTAAATTCTAGAGTTTCCATGGCCTAGCAAATTACTATCAAAGGTTCATCGAAGGTTGTAGCAGCATCATGTTACCCATAATTGATTGTTTAAAGTATAACAACATTCTGTGGATAGATACTCAACAATATTATTTTGAAATAGTGAAAATAACTCTTAGCTCAACTGTGGTCCTTGCATTTCCTAATTTTGAAAAGCCATTTCAAGTTGAAACAAATGCCATGATTATGGGCATAAGAACTATTTTATCTCAATGTGATCAACCCATGAAATTTTTTAGTGAAAAATTATGTTCATCTTTTTAGAAGTGGACCTCTTAGGAGCAAGAATTATATGCAATAGCTAAAGAACTCAAATAGTGGGACCATTATTTATTGCATCAAAACTTTATACTTTGGAGTGATAATCTAGATTTACAATACGTGAACAATTAAAAAAAATATAAACCGTATGCACGCCAGGTGGACTCTATTTTTTCAGTGATTCAGTTTTGTAATTAAACATAAATCTAGGAAAGCAAACTTAGTAGCAAAAGCCTTAGGTAGGCACTTGGCTATGTTGCCTCATTGATATTGCTGGTCTATAATCCTTACAAGACATTTATGTTATGGACTAGGATTTTATAAAAGTTTGGAATGCATGCCTAGAAGGACATCATAAACAAGACTACACTTTACATCTTGGTTTTTTATTTAAAGGCAATTGCCTCAACATAACCAATTCTTCTTGGGGATAGTAGTTGATTAAAGAAATTCGTGGTGGTGGATTAGCAGCTCACACCGGGAGAGATAAAACATTTGAGAAACAACAAGCTTATTATTATTGGCCACATCTTCATTCATACATCACTAGCTTTGCAAAGAGGCATTTCATTTTCAAAACTTATAAAGGTATAGCCCAAAACACTAACCTCCATTTTCCTCTCCCCATTCTGGATTCAATTTGGGAAGATTTAACCCTTGATTTTGTGTTGGGCCTTCCTCGTACTAAGCAAGGAACAGATTCCATCATGGTCATTGTTGACCATCTGTCCTAAATGGTACATTTCATTCCTTGTAGAAAATACTTTTAATTCCATTAACATCGCCTGCATTTTCTTCAACAAGATTGATCCATTACATGACTTGCCCCGCAGGCTCACTTCTAACCATATTGTAAAGTTTTTTAGCCACTTATGATGTAACTTTGGAAAATACTGAACACTAACATATAACTTAGCTCAGGTTATCATCCACAAATACACAGTCAGACTGAGGTAGTCAATTATATTTAGGTAATATGCTTCGTTGCTTTATTTAAGATCACCCTGAAAGATTGGTAGAACTCCCTAGTCAAGCTGAATTCTCTTATAATTCCATTTCCAACTGGCCTACAAGTTATTCCCTTTTAGCATAGCTTACACCAAAGTACCAAACCATCTTGTTGACCTAGCAGTTCAACCTAAATGTAGCGGGACTTTAGCTACTAAAACAATAACCCAATTTACTGATACTTTCAAGTCCAATAAGGAATAATTACAAATAGTAGCCTCCAAATATAAGCAATGAGCAAATCTTCATAGGCATTGCAAAACTTTTAATTTGAATGATCTAGTGATGCTTCATATGTCAAGAAAGATTTCTAGTAGGCTTTTTCTCAAAACATAAGCCCCTAAGCATTGGCCTTTTTCCTCTCCTTCAAAATTTTATTGACAATTCTTATGTTGTGGATATCTTTCCATTATTTTTTACTTCTTCTGCATTCAATGTGACTGATGTATACACATATCTTCCTTCGGATGATACCACCATTGAAGCTAACTCATCGAAGTCAAGTTCTTTTGTACTGGGGGAGAATTGATGCAGATTACAAAGTCCTGGTAGAACATTATACTTGCTAAGTCACAGACCACTACTATAGTTACTGCTTACTTTCATTTTCTATTAGTCACCTTGCCATACCTTATTATTTTTTCCCCATACTATGTATTTTCTAGTTTACCGGGAATTAATTTAATATATGAAATTTATTAGCGGTAAAGGCACATAAAGGAGAATATTTCCTATAAAAATACTATTTCATTGGTTACTCATTCTTTATTTCTTTCCTCTTGTGATCTTTTGCACTAAGAGCTAGTTGAATAGCTAAGGTTATCGGTTCTAATAGTTTCAGTTTGTATAGGTATTTTTCTTAGCTTCTGATTTTGTAAAGTCATGGTTATTCTCTGCTTCGTTTTATTTTTAACTTTAGTCATGTACTATATCATAGAGATTTTGTTGTATATACATTTTGAAGATTAATATAATGAAGAAAAAATGTTGATAAGTATATTTTCTATTTATTATCAAATAATTAGTAGCTTTATTATCTACTAATAATCAAAAAAAAAAAATTCTGAAAAGTTCTCCAAACTAGATCATGGGTTTGATCTATCACCATCAAACATGATTTGACTTTTCTGTCTATGAGTTATATTGGGTTGGGTTGTGATATAACTCCCCTCATATTATTTTACCAAGTTGGGACACTTGGGCGAGTCCTCATTGCTGGGTCCATGAGATTTCACCTATTATGACTTGTTGGCAATTTGTTAAATACTTTAAAATACAAGAGAGCGTACAAATAAGCTAATTATTTTTTTGTAAGATTATTGTGTTCTAAATATTTAAGTTAATGCATCATCTTTATGAAAATAAAGAACTTAGTAATCCAATTTTTATATTTCTTAGTAATCCAGTTTTATTATATTTGCTTTCGATGTCATCCAGTTGTGCCTTGTGACTATCTGTTACTAAGGATAAACTTTAAAATGAGCCTAAGATGAGGTAGCTAAGCATGAAAATCAAGACTTAGGATTCGTTTGGGACGGCTTTCTTTCTGCTTCGTAAAGTTAATTTTTGTACTAGGAAGCTGCTTTACGAAGCAGAAAGAAAGCCATCCCAAATGAAGCCTTAGATTTCCAAAATGTTATCTGATTGTTGATGATAAAAATAAATTCATCACTATTGCGCTCTTTATCACTTTTGAGATACTTTTATAGTCTATTTCTTTCTAGTGAGGTTATTTCTAAGCTTGATTGAAGTAACAAACCAATTGATGGTTTCTTGTAGGTAATCGGGAGATCTGTTAGTGAGTTTCCACTTTTAATCGTTAAAAGAGAGTATCTAAATGAATTTATGGAGATTTCTTTCTTCTACTATAAGAAAAAGAGGTAGCAGAAAGAAGAATTATTTTATTTTAAGATCAAAAATAAAGTGGACAAATCAACTATGTTAATTAATGTTGCAAATTATTCTACTCATTAAATCAATATAATTCTTTTTTCTGATGATGCCCTATTAATGACTTGTTATTTTATACTTATTTTTACGATCTAACCATTCAACATCAATGCTTGAGAACCCAAAACTTGAAATTATCCACTGTATCTTCTGTTAACCATAAAAAACATATCACATGCGCACACTGAATCTTCATAAATCATTTAAGAGGCATCCCATCAGAAGATGAGATTGTATTTAGCACAAGGCCGCAACAGCTGATGAAGAACACATGGCTGGTAGATGACTCAGCTGACTAGAAAAAGAAAAAGAATGAGATCAAGAAATTCAATAATGGCATCTATAATGTAGCAACCAAGAGATGAGGAGCCACACAATAGTAGAAAGCTACAGAGATTGACAGTAGATAGAACAAAAAAAAACTAATAATGATTGATAAAGAATAAGAGCTCATCTATCATGTTTCTGCATGCTGTTAAGGGCTTACGCCATATTAAAAACAACAATAATGGAGTGCATTCTTCATAGTTAAAGGAATAATTGAAATGCCAACTATGCTTTGAAAGGAACAATTTCAGGTATTTAATTTGGGATAAAATATTCGATTATTTTATTTCTGTTGAGAGAGAAAAGTGATTGATTTCCTCCACAAGTTTCATAGTTTTTTTTTTACTTAAATATTATTATTTTTGGTTAAAGTGGAGGGCTTTTTAAGTCAGGGTTGTATAACAAAATGTTTTCAAGGAACAAGAAAAGTGAATTATTTTCCACAAAGGCTAAGCAAGCACAGAAAATTTTTCCTATCTGGAACAATTTCAGCTAATTGAGACTAAGGTAGAAATTTAGCATACTATGAGGGAGTACATTTTTTTTTAAGTCTGAATGTTTAATTAAGATGGAATGGCATGAATGCAAATAATATCAGTTGTATGATGTAATTTTCATGTGAATGAATTGGATCATAAAATTAATGAGAGTGTCCTTAATTAAAACATCTCACTTCAAGAAGAGTAACTTCTAATTTATGGGGTTCTTTTCAATAGTTCAAATTGCATGTATATTTTTTGTATGTTAATTGATACGTCATCAAAAATCTTCTTTGTCCAGCTCGAATCTCGAGGCATATCTAAGTTAGAAACTTACAAAATTAAATTTGGGACCATCCAAATCTGATTTCAACAAACTTATAGTCAAACATAACATCTTGAAGAGGTGTACCCAATGAAACCAAAATCGGTATAATATGAGCCCAAATGGGTCCAAATCAAATGACCAACAATGTTATTCAGCAAGATCACAACTACATGTTGCTTATGCAATTGAGGCTCGCACTTAAGGCTAAGATTCCTCCACCTAATAATATAATTAGGTAAAGACTCGTGGGGATGCTTCCTGGTCACTACCAACTCGCCAACTGTGACTCTATAATCATTACTAATGAAGCTCTGAATGAACAACTGCTCAAGTTCTGCAAACGTGTGTACTGAATCATCAGGGAGATTAGCATACCACTCAAATGCCACCCCCACTTGATTACTGACAAAATTTCTCAATATCAGTGCATTATTCCCTCCAATATTGCCACATATGGCCCAATATTGAGCCACATGATGCCTTGGGTTCCCCAACCCATCAAACACTAACAAATGTGGTGGTACAAAACCAACGGGGTATGGCTCCCACTCATACACCATCAAGTAAGGAAGACCCCTATTGACTGCTTCCCCCAACATCCTGGAAAAAATAACCTTTTAAACCTTCTTATGTAATCATATCCAGAATCTGCCAAAGTGACAATTGTATTGACTGACTTTGGACTGAAACACTGAACTGTACTATTTAAGGTGCTACTAGAACCACCCTTTGAACTCTGTATACTCTCACAAGCTCTGGCTCTGCTACCTATGGAATGGCTTGCTTGTCTTTAGATGTAGTAGGAGTATCTACATCCATAAGTTGGGGTGTCGCCCTCAACGCTGTCAATTGGGTAGTCATCGCTTCCATGGTCCTAGCCATCTCAATCTTGTACCAAATCTAGATCCAAATACTTTAATTTTGATGATAACAAATATTATTATTTCTTTACAACTATTTTTATTGAATATTTATTTTATTTATCATGCTTACTAACCTTTCAGGTCAACAAAGATCACTTGCAAAGCATATAGCTCAAGATCGGGTAGATTAGGGTTGAGTCAACTTGTAATTTCATTTCAATGTATATTTTACCTTTCTTGAGTCATCTTGAATATGGTGGACCCTGAGCTAAGTAACCATGCATACACATACTCAGGGGGAGAAATTTTGTGAGTTAGAGTTTTTTATTTTTTATTTTTGACCACATCGTATAGGACGATCTTAGATCATAATGGACGATCAGTTAAAAAATAGAAACTGTGACTAGGGAATCCGACTAATTAAAAGTGATACTAAGTAGGAAAACCTAGGTACAAGTCAATGTCAATCTCTATTCTTGAACTGGAACTTCAAATAGCATTTGATTGGATCCCTGCATTAGGCAGATTTGTACCCTGCTAAGATTTGAAGAAGAAAGCAAATTGAATGAAGAAAGGGGAAAGAGAAAGATACTAAACGAAGATGAACTGAGTGGTGATGTGAAATGAGTAAGAATTGTTAGCCCACCCTGAATGCCCTATTTCTTATTAGAAATGAATATACTATCTACTATGTATAATGAATAAAGAGAAGTGTCTAATATTTCTCAGTCTTTTGGCTTGCTTTCCCACTAGCTGGTATAACACGTCATGGCAATTTTCTTTTAGACCACTCCAACCAGACTACTCCAAGTTCTTTCAAACTAGACTAAAGAACTCCTGCTTCTATGTCCTTAGCTACACCGGCTGGGTATCTGCATCATAGCATCAAGAAAACAAAGCCTTCTTCTCTTCTTGAAACAAAACACGAGCGCCTTGCCTACTTGCTTTAAGAACCGCTACTTCGTGTGACATGTTATTCTCCTAAAATGAAAAGAAAAGGCCTATAAAAAGCAGGGTAGGGAACAATTCGACTAGAAGCCGGGTTTGAACTCTTTTCTGTCTTTGCTACGCAACCTTTCTTTATAGAAGTAAAAGAAGAAAGTAGACGATAATCACTATACCAATTGACAAGGACTGAGGAAATGAGTCTGATCTCGACCTAATATTAGTAGGAGTGTGTAGTTACTTCGAATATTGAGTAAGAGCACCGGATTGGAGTATTCAAGTCCGAACTCTTTAGTATGAATGGATTGAATGCAGATAGAGAGTCTTACTATAAGGTATAAGCATCAGTTACGGTATTCCGAATCTGGATATCAGCTTTATGCCTTACTATGGATTAAGCATAGAGCTTATTGCACCAAGCTTTGAACAAGGAAGAATCAATGGTCTATCCGTGAATTCCTAAAGTACTCCAATTCGAAGAGAGCTAAGGCAGGGGATGGGGATTTGATTTTGATTTTAGTACTCTATTCTGCTGTTCCCCTTGCCATACTTCCTTTTCTCTGTTCTTTATGAAATAGTAAGAAATTCTACCTTTCAAAAGTCAAAAGAAAGTAGAAGAAGCTGTTGTGACTCTTTGCTTGCTTGCTCCTGTAAGTCGCACTTGCTTCTTACCACTATTCTACTCAGAAAATAGACAACTGACCTAGCTCTAGGAATGTGAGACAAAAATCCACGTCGTGCTTGGTTGGTTCGGTAGAGAACACAAACCTTTGGTAGGTCACCACCCTCTTCCCGGCGACAAAATTAAACAAATTATATTAGATAATCCATTTCATCCAAGACGATCAACTTATATTTTGAAAAATAGCTGCCAATCACAATTTAGTTAATATTTTAAGTTTCAAATTTTGTTCTAATCGTATAGGAAGATATTCATCATCCTAGATAATTTATGACAATCATACCTAAATTGATCTTGTGATTAGGAGAATAATTATGGTTAAATTATTTAATCATATTGTACAGGATAATCCAACTGGATTATACTTGATGATATAGTATATTTCGTAGGACGATCCTGTATCGTCCAAGACGAAAAACCATAACTTTACTCTAATCATCTAGGAGGATTGTCCTGGACATCCCAAGACATTTTTAGGATGATATGGAGATCGCCACCCATCGTTCAATGTCATACTAGACGATCAATATTGTATGTTGAACTAATCATCCCGGATGATTGAAAGACTATATTGGACGATACGTACAAATACTTGTATTGATCGTACAGAGAAAAAGTGATTGTCATAGCTGATAGAGCTATTTTGTACTAATTTTATGGGGCGATCTGTCGATCATCATGGACAATCAGTTACGTAGAATTGAAAATTAGAGCTTCTTTTGAAGGCTATCTATTTAAGCAAATATAATAACCTTTGGGTTTATCTTTTACTGTGGAGTTGATCCAACACGAAGCTTAGAGAAGGAAGAGGGAGAGCTTGAGAAAGAGAGATCCTTGTGAGGGGGAGTTTGTGAAGGAATCATAAAGGTTGCTCGAAGTAAGGTGTTCATCATCTTCTTTGAGTTACTCCACTAGCTCCTCTCCTTGGTGGCTCCAGGGAGATCATCTTTAGCTTTAGATCTAGGTTCTCTACCTACTCCAAAATGGAGTAAAAAGATTCTCGAGTTCTCTGCCTACTCAAAGAGGGAGTTAAAGGATTCAAGGTTCTCTGCCTCCCCATGTCAATGGAAAAATTTTGTAAGGGCTTCTCCGCCTTGCTATTCGGGCAAAAGGAGAGTCACTTTAGTTTAGTGTAATACTTGGAGAAGGAGTCTCAAAGGAGTGAATGTATCATATTTGACCGAACAACTATAAAATTTGGTGTGTTCTTCCTTAATACTTTTTACCGCATTTTATTTCTAAACATTTGTGTGATTTGTTCTGTGATTGAAATATCTGATTGTATTATTATTATGAAATTATTTTTCTTCTATATTAAGAGTTATTATTTTGTATTAAAATATTTAAAAAGATTAAAAAGATTTTCTTTTTGTTTTAGAATTTTTTAAAATTATTAATTTGCCCCCTCTTTGTTAGCCTTGGGCTAATTCTTTAGGGTTTAACACCCTTCATGAACTTTCAAATTGCATCAGAGCAGGATTAATAAAATTAAGTTTTAGAAAACTTTTGAATTTTGATTCATGACTAACTTTGGAAATTAAAACGCTGTGGAAGGTTATTCGATTACTAGATCATATCTTTTTGATAATATATCTTTTGATTTTTGAAAAACTCGTATGTCCACCTTTTTATAATTAATTGATTATTATATATGATCTTGTTAAGGAAGGT